CCAGAAGAACTAGATGGTACCCAGCTATCACTGTCAACCATTCGGAGGGAGATCTATGTAGGAGATCCTGGATAGAGTGGGAGAACAATGTGGAACAAAATTCAACATCATTAAAAAGAAAAAGAGAAAGTCCAGGTATGCTGGTCTGATAGAGTCTGATGGAACCACTGAGACCACCATGGCCCCTAGCAGCCTTCAGGTCCGGAATTGAACCCACACCTGTGTCTTCCATCCAAACAAGAGACAGGCATATGAGCTCAACATTTACCATAGGTAGATACACTCCTAGGAGAGAACAATCAGAGGAGAATAGAAGGGCTATGTATGCACAGCGAGACAGCTCAGGAGGCAGGAGTGCATGGAGGGAAGGACACAGGGAAGAGTTAACTATGGAGAGAAGTGGGAGGTGAACTGCTGCATTGTGGCAGACTGCAGTCAATGTCATGAGACAAAGTATATGTGAGCTGCTGTATGGAAAGTGAATTTGCTTTGTAAACTTTCACCCAAATCACACACACAAAAAAAAGATTAATAATAAAAAAAAAAAAAGAGAAAAGAAAGAAAGAAGAATGAAAATAACTACTTCTTAAAGGTCATATACTTTACGGCCAATCAGCTAATCCCTCTTAATGCTACTACAAAGCAAGTATTATTACACTCATTTTACAGATGAACCAACTGAAGCTTAGGAAGCTAAGTGTGCTTCCCTCAAGTAACAATTCTTATACTTAAAACATTATAAAGAGACTTATTTTAAATAATATGTACATGAGAAAATAAAGATGAGAGTGGTATTTGGGTTTATCACTAAACCTAATCAATCTTTACTTAAAATACCTTTTATTTTTTTCTTCCTTCCATTGTCACTTCTCTAGTCTACGACCCCAATAACCTCCTGGCTCATGTTCTGCAACAGCTTCCTAACTGCTTAGAATCCCTCTCTTTCCATTGCCAACACTTTTCAGACTCTGTTGTCAAAGTAATACCCCCAATCATTGTCATCTGCATGTTCATGAAGTTAAAACAACTTACTACTGTATTTTTCTCCGACTGAAGAAAGAAAAATATAATCTAGAAAATACAAAAAAAAAACCATGAAGAAGAGAATAAATCCATAATAATTCTGCCACTCAAAAAACAACCATTCTGGCACAGATCGTTCTATTTTCAACACCAATGTTTTTACATAATTAACTCATGTTATCTATACAATTTTATAGGAACTCTGGTGCTTCAGTGGGTAAGGTATATGGCTGCTAACCAGAAGAATGGTAGTTCAAATCCATTAGGTGGTCTGCAGCAAGAAGATGAGGCAATCTACTTGCATAAAGATTTACAGCCTTGGAAATCTTATGGGCGTTGCTATGTGTCAGAATCGACTGGATGGCAGTGGGTTTATTTTAAACACCATTTTATATTCTTTTGGCTGCATTTAACAGGAAAAAAATATATTTATATTTTTTAAAGCCTCATATGCATTTTTAATAATTCTAAATTGATACACCACTGGTTACATAATCATCCTCGTATTGCTGCATATTTAGGTTACCTGCAATTTATTACTGTAATAAAGAATCCTATGAAAACACTTTTGCCCAAGTATCTTAGAATACATTTCAGGTTATTTCTTTACAGTTGACTTCAGGAAGCAGAATTACTAGATTAAAGTGCTTGAATTATTTTCAGAATTTTATATAAATCTGTCATATTACTTTTGAGAAACTCTTACATGGATTTACATGCCCGCTATTAGTAAATCCAGGAGCTCTAGTAGTGTAGTGCCTACAGCATTTGACTGCTAGCCAGAAGGCTGGCGATGCAAAGCCACCAGCCACTCCTGGGAAGGAAGACTGGGTGATCTACTTCCATAGAGATACTGCCTCGGAAACCCAGGGAGGGATTGCTATAAATTGGAACCAACTCAATAGTAGTGAGTTTGGTTTTTTTTTGTATTAGTAAATCTGAGGATTTTTACACAAATTTAATACCACAAATATGGCTTTAAGCTCCCAAAACTATTCATGTTAAGTTTCAAAATGCAGCAAGTTTTGAGATTCTGTAATGCTTGTCTGATATGTAAAATACCTAGACCCTCTCCTCAATTCTGTGCCATTTGAGATACACACACACACGCAAGTTGTTGCTGGCTGCTGTCAACTCAACTCCCATTGGCTGCGATCCCATGTGACAGAGCAGAACTGCCACTTAAGGTTTTCTTGGCTGGAATTTTTACAGAAGATTTTACCAGATCTTTCTCCCATTGAGCAGCTTGGTCAGTTCAAATTGCCAACCTTTCAGTTAGCAGTTGAAGGCTTAACTATTTGTACCATCAGAGCTCCCTCATATATATGTGAGCCGTAAGAGAGATGGTAATCAAAGCTACAATGAGATACCACTCCTATAAGAACAGCAATAATAATAATAATAATAACAACAACACATACACCCACTCACACACCCACACATACACACTTATCCAAGTTAAGATTTTAAGATACAAAATAAACTAGGAACTAGAATGACCTAAAGTACTTACAATCTACTCCAAATACTAAGGTGTATCCCTGACCTACAGGCAGTCCCTGAATTATGAACAGTTGTTGTTGTTGTTATGTGCCGTCAAGTCGGACCCAACTCACAGTGGCCCCTCCTTGGGTTTCCGAGGCAGTATCACTACAGAAGTAGATTGCCCAACCTTCCTTCTGAGGAGTAGCTGGTGGGTTTGAACCGCCAGCCTTCTGATGAGTAGTCAAGTGCCTTAGGCACAACGCTACAAGAGCTTCCTGGATTATGAACTAGTCCCATTAATAAATCTGTCAATTTTGTACATAAGTTGGAACAGTTAGATACAGTTCGTATCTAACATCATTTATGTCATAGTATATATATGCATAAAAATCATTAAAGATACACTTCCAGATACACTAGAAAATTTTAATATAATAATACAGTAATAACAATTTTTGGTGTGTGATGCAGTAGTAATCATCTGTTATTATGAACCACTATATGTACCCTTGAATTTTTAATATAATAGGCTCTACAAAGGTTGGTTTATAACTACAGATTGTACATAAGCCCAACATTCATAACCCAGGGTTTGCCTGTAATGGCATTCAATGCATAAAAAAATTTAAATCTCATTAAGCACCTTATAAAATCTCATTTTTAAAGCTTTGTAATAACATAGGGAAATAATCACAACACTGTTACATGGCAAGAGCAGGGCATAATTCCATATATATGATACTAAAATAAAAGTATTAAAAGTAATACACAAATGTGAAAACTAAAGCCATAAAATTCTTAGAAGAAAATACAGGCACATGGCTGTGGCGCATAGTTTTTAAATGATGGATTATCAGATATCACAACAAAAGCACAAGTAGCAAAAGACAAAACAGATAAATAGGACATCATAAAAATGAAGTAATTTTATCAAAGGGCTTTATAAATTTTAGAAAAGAAACAAAAAAGAGAAAAGACAATCTATAGATTGACAGTAAGTTTTCAGGAACCATATATCCCACCAATGGTCAAATATCCAAAATGTATTTTAAAATCTTAAACTTAACAACAGAAAGACAAACAATCCAATTAAAAAATGGGCAAAGTATTTGAACAGATAATTCAGTTCACCAAAAAGGATATTCAAATAGCCAACAAACACATGAAAAAAGTGCTCAATATCATTAGCCATTAATTCAGTGCCACAGAGTCGATTCCGACTCACAGAGACCCTATAGGACAAAGTAGAAATACTCCAAGGCTGTAATGTTCACAGAAACAGACTGCCACACCTTTCTCCCACAGAGTGGTTGGTGGGTTGAAATGCTGACCTTTTGGTTAGCACCTGAACACCTAACCACTGCACTACCAGGGCTCATTAGCCATAAGAGAGATGGTAATTAAATCTACAATGAGATACCACCCCAATCCTTTAAGAACAGCAATAATAATAATAATAATAAAGGAAAACAACAGGTGATGGAAAATTTATGGAGAAACTGCAACCCTCATCCATTGCTGGTGGGAATGTAAAATAGTACAGCAAAGGTGGAAAACAGTTTGGTGATTCCTCAAAAAGTTGAACATAAGAATATGGCCCAGTCATCCTAGATATAAACCCAGAAGTAGTGAAAGCAGGAATGCAAAGAGAAACCTATATATATCAATGGTTACTGAAGCATTTTTCACAAAAGCCATAAGGAAAAAACAATCAAAATCTGCAGATGAATGGATTTAAAAATATAGTATATACACACAAAGGATACTCATCAGCCATAAAGAGAAATGAAGTCCTGATGCATGCCACAACATGGATGAAACTTGAAAACATCATCCTGAGGGAAATAAGTCAGCTGCACAAGGATAAATATCTACTAATGTGAAATAAGCCAATATATATACAGAAACCAAAGACTATTAGTGGTTAGCAGGGAGAGAGGGGGAAAAGGAGACAATGAGTTCATGTTAATGGTGGTGGAATAATTTGGGAAAGGACAGCAAGAATGGCTGTGTAACTTGAGGAATATAAGCAATGTCACTGGATTGTATATGTACAAATTACTGAGCTGGTATATGTTTTATTATATATATTTTCACCGCAATAAAAAATATATAGAATTAAAAGAAATACACCATAATATAGTTACAGCTGCATGTCAGATAATGAGTGATTTAAATTTCCCTCTTCATGTTCTAAATAAACCAAAACCAAAAACCATACCCAATGCCACTGAGCCAATTCCAAGTCATATCGATTAACCCACAACGGGTTTCCAAGGCTATAAATCTTTACAGACAAAGATTGCCTCATCTTCTTCCTGCAGATCAGCTGGCAGGTTTGAACTACTGACATTCTGGTTAGCAGCCAAATGCCTTACCCGCAACACCACCAGAGCTCCTTCAGTTAGACAGTTTACCTATATTCTACATTGTTGACTTTTGGAGACATTCAAAAAAACAGTATTTTTAAAAATGTTTTTAAGATTACTTACCACATTATAATAGCCTTTGTTAATTGCAGTTGTATCAAACCCTTTAGGAGGGCTCTTCAAAGCTCCTGACTTGGGAGATACAGGCTTTTCTGAAATAAAAATTTAATATAGTCTTACTGCTCAACACATGAGATTAAGGAACTCATTGGATCAATGAACTCAGTGACAATGTGGGGAACCTCACATATTCCAGTCTATTGATCCAGCAACCTCAAATGAAATAATCAAAATATAAAGCAAAAGAAAAGGCCTCTGGCTAGAGATGCTACAAGTCTCTTACCACTTTCTGATATTAAGCTCAATCATAAACACATCACTCATCCCATTCTCCCAATTTCAGACTGAAAATGTCCAAAAGAGCTTATATACCATTATTATGAGCAAAATAAAGAACATTTTAGCTACAAGTGTAGCTTAATAAACCCATTGCCATCAAGTTGATTCTGACTCATATGGCCCTACAGGACAGAGCAGATCTGCCCCACAGGGTTTCCAAGGCTATAAATCTTTATGGAAGCAGACTGTCACATTTTTCTCCCATGGAGTAAGTTGGTGAGATCGAACCGCCAACTTTTGGTTAGCAGCTGAGTGCCTTAACCACTGTGCCACCAGAGCTTCTATAGTTTTAACAGTGTGATGCTGTTGTTATGTGCCGTCGAGTCGGACCCGACTCATAGCGACCCCTCCTTTGGTTTCCAAGGCAGTATCACCATGGAAGTAGATTGCCCCATCTTCCTTCCAAGGAGTGGCTGGTGGGTTTGAACCGCCAGCCTTCTGGTTAGCAGTCAAGTGCCTTTGCCACTATGCTACCAGAGTTTAACAGTGTAGTAAATATAAAATACTACTCAAATAGAAAACTGAAAATGTTAGCATATATGTAACAGCATTAAAATATCAAGATCCACAGTTCTGGACGATCTTATAGGGATTCAGATCACTCTGAATGCAAAAGGCTTTCTAAAGAAGCAGGGCCTGGACATGAATAGATATATGCACACCAGTGTTCATCACAGCATTATTCACGATAGCAAAGAGATGCAAACAACCTAAGTGCCCATCAACCAAGGAATAGATAAACAAACTGTGGTATACACACACAACAGAATACTATGTAACTCTAAAGAATAACACAGAATCTGTAAAAACTGCATAATGTGGATGAACTTGGAGGACATTATGCTGAGTGCAATAAGTCAATCACAGGACAAATGGGTTAGTCCACAATTGTGAAAAGTTTATACACAGAAGGAAATTTTCTTTGTTGGTTACCAGGGATGGAAGGGCAGGGGAGGGAAAATTTCTAAATAGGTTATCTATGTGTGTGTGCAAGTATGCATGTGTATGTAAGTACATATATATATGAAAAATTATATACCCCCAAAGATTATTAGTGGTTACCAGGGGTAGGAGGGTGCAGAAAAGGGGAAGCCTTTGTTTGTGGGCATTGAGTTTATGGTAGAATATTTTGGAAAAGGATAGCAATAATGCTGATACAACGCGAAAATGTCATCAATGTCTTTGACCTGTGAATGTAGAAATTGTTATGCTGATGAATGTCTTGTTGTGCATGTTTTCAACACAATTAAAGTAAAAAAAAAAAAAAAAAAGTAGGACCTGCCTCAAGGCTTGAAATAACGGTCATGCACAGTAGACAGGCAAAAGATGACACCCTAAGAAAGGGCAAAACCAAGAAAAAGTCAAAGCATGGAATGAAATAATGAAGTGAGATACAAAGGGAAAAACAGACTGCACACCTTTGAATATAGCCAAGGAAGTACCAGATCACTAAAGGCAACCTACTCATAAAATAGTTTTCCTCTCAGAGACCACACTGGCACAAAGATTAAAACTGTCATGATTACCGCAAGGATTCAAATATTTTAAAATTGCACTGCTTTCCAACAAATATTTATATAGCACAATAGGTACTGCAGAAGTACTTGCTTATCGACAACACAGCTCTCTGGAGTGAGTGAGTGAGTGAGCGAGAGAGAGAGAGAGAGAGAGAGAGAGAGTGTGTGTGTGTGTGTGTGACTGATTCTTCAAGGCTATTATTGCTATGCCATGGAACTGAATTTCAACAGAGACATACATACTTTAGTGTCTATTTTATGCATAGGGATTTTTTTTTAATTAAAATTCAAATATCATGCCATTATCATAGCTAACAATCCCTTAATATTATCTAATATTTAGTCTATATTTAGAATTCCCATTGGTATCTCTCACATCTTTTGGCAGTGAGCTTATGTGAATCGGGAACTGAATAAGATCTACAAAGTGCAAATGCTTGTCAGGTCTCTAAGTCTCTTATTTCAGAGAAGTGCTTCCTCCTAATTTTTTTTCATGCCAGCAGAGAGCACAGAGGATGATCATGTTCTTTCCTCATCTGTGCTACCTACTTTTCTATCCACAGAGACTCAAGTAAGGTCTACAAGGGCAGAAACTTTGTTAGTTTGCTCACTGCTATAACACCAGTCCACCACTCATCTATCTGTTTGTCATACTGTGGTGGCTTGGTATGGTATTGCCATGAGATTGGAGGCTATGCCACTGGTACTTTAGGCAACAGCAGGGTCACCCATGGTGAACAGGTTTCAGCAGAGCTTCCAGACTAAGACAGACTGGGAAGAAGGAAGAGGCCAGACCCTTCTCAAAAAATTGCCAGTGAAAAAGGGAATATGCACATGACTATATGTTAGGAAGTTCTGGTAGAGTAGTGCACAAGGCATTTGACTGCTAACCAGAAGGCTGGCGGGTCAAACCTACCAGCCACTCCTCAGAAGGAAGACTGGGCAATCTATTCCCAGAGATACCACCTCGGAAACCCAAGGAGGGATCGCTATGAGTGGAATCAACTCAACTGCAGTGAGGTTTTTTGTTTTGTTTTGTTTAGGTATGTACGGTTGGCAGATGATATTGCTACATACGTATTTGTATGTGACGTACAAATGTTCATATAACTAGAAGTAACAGAGGGCAAAGTTAAAATTTATAACTTCTTAAGCACAGTCAACCACCCTGATGGAGCAAGTTGTTGGACCTGTGAGTTTGGGACCATGGTTGCAGGGGACATCAAGCTCAAAGTGCATAACATATCATACAAAAACATTGTTCTACATCCTAATCTGGTGAATAGTGACCCTCAACAAGATGGACTGACACAGTGGCTGCAATGATGGCTTCAAGCATAATAAGGACTGTGAGAATGGCACAGGATATGGTAGTGTTTCGTGCTGCTTTAAGTAGGGTCACTGTGAGTTGGAATCAACTTGACAACATCTAACAACCAACAATAAATGCCACTTTATTCCAGTTAATTTCAGATAATTCAACACAAAACACCCACACACATAGCAAAAGTTTAGCAATACAAAGGAAAACAAGGTCCTATGTTACCTTTGTCACTTTCCCAGTGTTACATCAAATACTGTTCATTGCAACTATACTAATAACTGCATCCAAAATACAGCTTGCATTGTATATTTCTTTTAGATGTCACAAATAAACAAATTATTACAACGTTACAAATTTAGGAAGTGCCAGTGTGAATGCTCATTAAAGATCTGTGGATCAGCAAATGAGAGTCACATTTAAATTCTGACACCATTGCCAAGTATAGTTTATTACTCATCTCAAGCTAACCAGCTCCTAAATAAGATTTCAAAGAAATGGCTTTACTGTACCACAGAAAATGAGCTGCCTAGAAATAGGAGAAATTAAAGTCAATACATGAGAAATAATCTTCTAAAAGAAATCTGATGACTATAAATGTATATACACAAAATTGGACTTACAAGGATACAAATCATTATTTCTGCTTACTCATGACTCAATTTAGGCTTCAATGGCATTCATTTTGATAACTACTTAGTACCTCTACTTCTATTTAATAACAGCAGTAGCCAACATCATTCCACTCCCAGAAATGGCCTTGTAGCTTCTTTCCCTTCCTCCTCCCTTAAATATACAAAGAAATCTTCTGGCGTATATGGATGTGTTTTAAAATATACATATATATCTATGTGTACAAAATGCAGTAGGAATTCAAGGATTTGTACCTATCTGAAAACAGAACTGTACCTTGATATTGTTGTTGTTATGTTCCGTCAAGTCGGCCCCGACTCATAGCGACCCCTCCTTGTGTTTCTGAGGCGGTATCATTAAGGAAGTAGATTGCCCAACCTTCCTTCCGGTACATTGATAGTAAGTGCTAAATAGTCATTAAATATCTTCCATAAAAAATTTTATATATTCAGGAATAATATACAATGTTTTTACAGTAAGCATCAGAAAGACCTTTCTACAGAATTTTGAATGATCTGTCTTCAAAGGAGGACTATGTCAAACAAGAAATCCATATAAAAGTTAAAACTGCAGATTCACAATGATGAAGCTTGGCAAGAACACTTCCACCTCTAGCCACAAGATGGCAAACAATTAATGACTATTTATATTTCGCTAAGGGGAGAGGGGGAGCTCTGGTAGCATAGTGGCTAAGACACTTGTCTGCTAACCAGACGGCTTCCTACTTCCATAGTAATACTGCCTCGGAAACCCAAGGAGGGGTCACTATGAGTCCGGGCCAACTCGATGGCACATAACAACAACAACAACAAAAGAGGAGAGGGGCTCTGGTGCATAGTGCCTAAGGCATTTGATTGCTAACCAGACTTAGTCACTCCTTGGAAGGCAGATTGGGCAATCTACTTAAGTAGAGATACACGGCCTTGGAAACCCAACAAGGGGTTGCTATGAGTCAGATCCTTCTTGACAGCTGCGAGTTTGGGTTTTTTTGGTTTTTAAGGAAATGTAGGAAACAGCACTGGTGGTACAGTGGTTAAGCCCTTGGCTGCTAACCAATATGTCAGTAGTTCTCACCAGCTGCTCTATGGGAGAAAAGTACTGCAGTCTTATAGAACTTAAAATTAAAGCCTTGGAAAGCTCTATAGGGCAGTTCTACTCTGTCCTACAGAGTCATTATGAATTGAAATCGACTTGATGGCAACAGGTTGTTTTTTTTTTTTTAGGGAAACAGAAGACATTAATTGGATATTCTTGAGAACTTCTCTGGACATAAGCAACCAAAACATATCATTTAGAGGTAAACTTCACTTCATTCAATAAAACTTAGTTTTATTCAATAAAAATATTTGTAAATCAAATAAAATTTTAATGTATAAGAGAAATTTTCAATTTAAAGGAAGTCAGTATTGATTTTTCAGAAATGACACTAAAATGATTGCCAGTTACAGAAGTCTATGTGTTTGGCACTTCACAAAATTTTGTTTTCAAAAAATATAGCATTGATTACGCCATAAATTAAAGTGCGTATGTTAAGATACTTTTCAAAAAAAGGACACTTACTCTAAAATCAAAAAGCCACATAAATTACTAAAAATATACAATAGTTTAATATTACTGTGATCCTAAAGTATCGTTCTCAACTGTTATAATATAAAAATATTGTTTCATTTTTTTTTATCTCAAATGCCTATATTTAAAATTAAGTTGGCAAAAATTTCCTTAGAATATAATATATTCAAGTAATTTGATAATGCTAGGGATGGGAAGTTATTCGTAAGAAAGACTATCCCTATACTTCAACTGTCAGATAAGGAATATGTAGCATGATGAATCATCAAAATGAGCAAGTATAGTATTCTTTAGATTTGGAAAAATAAAAAGAAAATTCCCAAAGCAAAATTACTAGGATCTCAGTTTGGTACTAAAATGATGGATTCAGTATGGTCCCTTGCAAAGAGCTCTTTAATGATAATGCAATGATTATACACATTTAAAATAGACACACACAAATATACTCAGGAACACAGAATAAGACATAAATATGTGCATTTTAAGCTAATAAAAAGTGAAATAGTTCTTTATGTAGTAAACACTTCTAAACATTTTGCCAGCTGGTTCTTCTTACAGCTGTATTTGTCACTGGCAGCCATCAGGCCCCACATTCTACTCCATAAATGGGATACTGAAAGCAAGATATTATTGTTACATTAATACAAATTTGTTAAAAGGCAAGAATATACTGTAAACAAACTACTACTAACAAATGATACTAATGACATTTAAATCTATTTGAAAATCACTCCCAGAAGTCACCTGAAGAGAATTCTGAGACCAAGCAACCTCTTTTTAGTGTAATTTTCATCACATGGGGTTAACAGAAAAAAAATCTGTGAAGGGTGTTACTGAATTATACATGTAGAAATTGTTGAACTGCTGTATGTTATGCTATATATATATATATTCCCAACAAAAACAAAAATTTAAAATGTCTTTTTTTTTTAAAAAAAAAAATCTGTAAGGCGAAATCATCTGAAAAGTAAAAATTAAAAATTTTTTGAAAATACTTTAGAAAGTGATAGTTCATTCATTTGCACCTTGATGATGACCTCTGGAAATACAAAATTAAACTGAAATTCACCTCTAAATAAGAAGAGCATTTAAGAATAGATGCCAAGTAATTCCAAGAAAGACATCTAACAAATGTCTTCCCATTTAGATAATTCCTGATGGTATGTACTATTTATTAGCATTATGACCTCAATATCCTTATTTGTGATATTGTGAATAATAATCATATCATTTTTCTCCCCTGGCTTCAAGTTTCCCCTTAGAAAGGGCTCCACTAGAGATGCTCTCACCTCTCAGCCCACTTCCCCAGGAGAAGACTGGATTATCTGACTGGTGAGTTTGAGAAAGGAAGTGGACTTAGATTCTGGAATCCACCTTCTTTTCCAGGCCTCAGCTTTATAGCGACCAGCTTGCACAGGCAAGTTCTATGGCTGTCCAGCTGTTCCAATTACCATGACCAGGTAAGTATTGTCAAGTTCCACTGACCAACACACTAAACCTGTATTTTCCAACAACTGTCCATAAAGTTGGGAAATACTGCATGGTTTAAAAAGGAAGGGTGTGCATCACATACTTACTTATTCACTCTGTGTGCTGAGCAAATAATCTGAGAAGATGGAACATATGAAGAACAACATGGCATGAGGATTAGAGGAAGACTCTTTAACAACCTGTGATATGCAGATGACACAACCTTTCTTCCTGAAAGTCAGTATAACTTGATGCACTTACTGATGAAGATCAAAGACTACAGTCTTCAGTATGGATTATACCTCAACATAAAGAAAACAAAAAGCCTCACAAATGGACTAATAAGCAACATCACAATAAATGGAGAAAAGACTGAAGTGGTCAAAGACTTCAATTTACTTGGATACACAATCAACAGCCATGGAAGCAGCAGTCAAGAAATCAGACATTGTATCGTACTGGGAAAGTGCTGCAAAAGACCTATTTAAAGCATTGACATAGAAGGATGTAACTTTGAAGACTAACTAAGGTGTGCCTAATCCAAGCCATGGATCATTGCCTCATATGCATGTGAAAGGTGGACAATGAATATGGAAGACCAAAGAATGGATGCCTCTGAATTGTGGTATTGGCAAAAAATACTGAAAACACCATGGACTGCCAGAAGAATGAACAAATCTGTCCTGGAAGAAGTACAGCTGGAATGCTCCTTGACTTTGTCTCACCTACTTTGTTCATATGGTCAGAAGGAACCAGTGCCTGGAGAAGGATATCATGCTTGGTAAAGCGGAGGGTCAGAGAAAAAGACGAAGACCCTCAATGAGACAGACTGACACAGTGGCTGCAAAAAAGGGCTCAAGTATAACAACTACTGTGAGGATGGCACAGGACCAAGCAATGTTTTATTCTATTGCATAGAGAGTTGCTATGAGTCAAATCAACTTGACGGCACTTAATAACATAACATCTGTAAAGGCAACATTTTCATGTCCATCAGCCTGATTCTAGTATGATTCAGTTAGTTCTAAACTTGGATTTGGATGGAGAGAAAAAATTATAGTATCTATTTGTACCCCATCTGCTTAATATCCCAATTCTTATCTTCTGGAAATGTGGTGAAGACTGATTGAGGTCACAAATAAAAAATCATAGAGATAAGAACATAATAAGCAGTTAATAAATCTTGGCTATTGTTAGTGATTTTACTATTTTAATAATGAAAGAATACTTATTTACTTACTTTGTATAAAGTAATACACAATTACTAACCATGACAAAGGTAACAGCAGCAACTATCATACACTGAGCTCCTGATTTGCGGCACACATCAAACTATATGCTTTACAAACCTTAATTTTACCCCCACAAAATCTTTACAAATCAGGTATCATTATCTTCATTTTATGATTGAAAAATCTTAAGCTAAGAAGGTAAACTCACTCACGTCACAAAGCAGAGCTATGGTTTTAAGCCATGCTCTTTCCATACTTTCTTATTTATTAGCTATTAACTTCGAACCACTTTTTCCCCCACACAGAATTAGAAAATTAGTATTGTTCAAATATATATTTTTCAAAAAAAGGAAGAATGTACAAATCAAGTTATACAAATCAGACTCATTTAACGTATCTGACCATCACTTCTTTCTTGCCACCCTTTCGCACATGCTCTTTTTCACTGTTAGTATAATCTCATATTTCTCTTACATCGCATTAGAGCAACTATATCCTAAATTAATATAAAAACTAATCATATACATATGAATCGATTGTAAGCTCCCTGAAGGCAAGACTTGTATTTTTGTATTCATAAAACCTAGGAGTCTCTATGCACAGCATTTTTCCAATAAATTAATGTTGATCCACTGAATTAATGACAGAATAACACACTTGCTAAGAAAGAAAATTATGCCATGTGTAATATCAAGTAAAACAGCATGAGCATTCTGTAAACGCAGAATGTCTATTGGGGATTCAATCTTTAGTATCACAGATTTTTTGTTATAACCCTGTAATATAAATCACAAAAGCACAAAGTATTAGAAAGAGCTATTGCAATTCCATACCATGAAGAAGCTAAAATAGCACTGAAAAAAAGGTGCCAAAGACCAGTATTCCTCTTCAAAATATCATAAATCTCTGAATGGTAATTAAAAAACAAAAATTCAATAGATCAAAGTTAAACAATTGTGGAAAAAATAAGGGAAATGATGCATTTTAAAATATTATCAGTACCAAAATAAATCCACACAAACAGAAATTACTTCATTCTACATAATGAACAAAATCACTCATACAAACGAAAACTAAACGCAGCCTATATGGAAATCTCAAGCTGAAAGTCCTGACACTTAGCCCTAAAAAAAGATACTGAATTTTATCTTACCATAAAAATATAATTGCAATAATAAAAACTAACATGTTTGAGACAGTTCTCTTTACATCTAGAAAATTAATATCTAAGTTAGAGCAACATTTGAGAATTGCATTTAAACTGAACAGAATGCTAGTTTATAATTATGAAGTCCCTTGTCCTGCATTTCTAATGTAGAGTTAAGATAAAAATCAATTCCATTTAACAAAATAGAATAGGAAAAATATTAAATCCTAAAACAAGTGCCACCTATACAAGTTCACCTGGAAAGTACAATTACTATATTAAGTACATTTCTTTCTTTCTACTTCCTATCTAATCAAAAGCAGAGTTCTATAAACATGCCAAATCTGAACACTTACCACTTGATTTGATTTCTCGAACATAGTTGCTAGGGAACCAGCCAGTTTTGCCATTGTGAGTACCCTCCCACCAGCCCCCTTCTTCCACTCTAGTGACATGGATGATATCTCCTTTTGTAAAAGAAAGTTCATCTTCATTTGTCTGCTGGAAATTAAACTTTGCTCTTACAACCAGTTGACTGTTGCTATTATCAGTCATGTCCTAAAAAGAAAAGGGGGGGGGGGGGAAATTTCATTAAGTATAGTCTAGTTCACTGTAAAATAATCAGATTATATTTTAATATTATAAATGTAACCTAATTGGGAAAAAAATTCAAACAGCAGAGAAATGTTTAAACAAGTTTAAGTTTCCCATCTCCCCAGCAGAACTTTACCACCACTCTGACTCTATTATGTAAAGGAAACCCTTTAAAGGCCTGATAGGTCTCATTTCTGGCCAAATTTATGCCTACATAAACAAATACATATGTGTGTGTGTGTTTGTGTGTGTATGAAAGTTATATTTTATATGGAAATGTTATTATACATGCTTCTCTACAATTTACTTTTTCAGCTATATTATGATCATTTTTCTATCAGTACTGATAAAATTACTTCAGTCTTAAATAACATAATATTACATTGTATGACGGTGCCATACATTATTTAGCCAGATCTTCATTAATGAATTTTTAGGTTATTTCCAGTATTTTTTTTTATTACAAAACAATGCTGCATGTATTAAAAGTAATTATGCATCTATCTTTAAACATGCCTGTAATTAAGTCTATAGGTTAAATTCTGTTCAGCAGAGATGTATGATACATTTTAAAGCACATTTCTAAATTGCTTTCACTGTAATAAGGAATTGCCTTATATACTCTGGTAGCATAGTGCCTAAGGCACTTGACTGCTAACCAGAAGGCTGGTGGTTCAAACCCACCAGCCACTCCTCAGAAGGAAGGCTGGGCAATCTACTTCCATAGTGATACCGCCTCAGAAACCCAAGGAGGGGACGCTATGAGTTGGCACATAACAACAATATAATTTAGCCTTTTATTCTTCGTTCTGGAGAGACAATCCTTGATGTTTTCCTGAGTAATTGAGGTGCCTTTATTATGTAAAACCTCCAGACAGAAACTTATAATGTGTACAAAGGAGTGGGGGCTACAGATACCCCACCTAGTCAGCTAACTTCAGGAAGAAAGAATGGCATGATGTAATCAACAATGCATATTCATCAATGACCAAACAACTGTGACCACACAATGAGGCCCCAACCATGACCACACAAGGAAGACAAGAAAGGGTTTTGAACACAGACGTTCCCAAGACTTCCTGGATTGGCTAAATTATCCATGTACTAGAAAGGGTGGCTGTCCCCAGAGACAGTAGAAGTCTTACACCTGGACCCCTCCCAGACCTGGTCCCATGTATCTCTTCACTTGTATTCTTTCTGATTATAACAAATGGGTAACTATAAGTATAGAGACTGTAGATTCTGTGAGCTGTTCCAGTGAATTAACAAACCCACTGAGCAATGAGCAGCAATAGGGGCTGATCTATGCCTATTTAATAGTGTAAAGGACACAGTCCCTCTAACTTGTCCTGACTCAGCTCGGGATGGCTAGGTCAGAGGAAGGCTGTCTGGACAGTCTATCTGAAGAACAGAGTCCTTCTAACTTGTACCCTCTACTCAGCTTGGGGTGGGATAGGTAATTACAAAAAGGGATGCACAGGGGGCTGATCTAAAGGACACAGTCCTTTTAACTTGTGAGCTCCAATCCAGCTCTAGGTGGCTGGAGGCTAGAGAAAGTATGCCACTTGGGAGGTTAGTGAATAGCAAAGAGATGTGGGAATGAGGACTAATCTACTTCAAGATAGGAACTGAATTCATGCTAATCCTTACCACACAGTGGCAATAAAGGTTGGGTTTGTCAACTCTGCTCTTTTACTAGTGCATTTTCCAGAAAGGTTCTACAAAGTTACATCAGTTATACTCCCATCAACATTATCTAAAAGTTCCTATTTCATCAAACATTTACCAACACTGAGTATTTTTCTTACTTTTGTCAAACTGATCTAATTTTAATTTGCATTTCTTTTAGAGATTAAGCATATTTTCGGATCTACTCAAGACTTTTAATCAAACTAAAGCTGCATTTTAAAAGCCAACTCAAAGTTAAAATGTTTCATGGTTCAAAAATAGAAATTCTTTCTTTCTGTACAGATTTTGTACTCATAATTAAGTTTCTGTACAAGGATTATCAATTTAAATATGAAATCAGGGATGACACTCTTTCCCATTTCACATTTCCAATCTACTTTTCTTGTTCTACTCCAGCACAAAACTAAAACTGTAGTCTCTGAATTAGAATATAGGCACAGTTGAGGCAGAAAGACTTACAGAACATTTATATTCTGAATGTTGATATTCTACATCATTCTCCTCCCACCTGCCTTAACTTCCTGGTGTTAGAAATCGTTTATCTTTTTTTTTTTTAATATGGCATCAAATTACATCTAATTATAATTTAGCTAATATTTTAACCCAACCTTTTATTTTCAGTTCTTCTCTGCATCTTTTGTATAGTTTTAAATTATGTTTGTTTTTTTAACCCAATAGAAGTCTCTTTTAATGAAAGAGTTCAATCTGTTTATGTCTATTGCAATTACTAGTTTTTAAAATTTCCTTATGACGTTTTCTTCTTTGTTTTCTATCTGCCAGCCAAAGAGGAAAAAATTACAAGTTCTAAACCAAAACCAAACGCACTGCCGTCAAGTTGTATCTGATTCACAGCGATCCCTCTCCTTGGGTCTACGAGGCAGCATCACTACAGAAGTAGATCGCCCAACCTTCTTTCCGAGGAGTGGCTGGTGGGTTTGAACTGCCAGCCTGCTGGTTAGTGGTCAAATGCCTTAGGCACTATGTCACCAGAGATTCCTACAAGTTCTAAGGGATTCTCTAAAGAAATAGTCCAGACTATCCCTCACACATACCTTAGACTCTACAAGGATCACCAAGAATCTAAGAAAACCATCTTCAAGTAGTACAGAGCAAAACAAAATGGATTAAAAAGAAAGCTGAAAAAAAAAATGTGGAAAAAAACAAAAAGTGAATTCTACAACTAAGAAACAAAATAAATATGCTATTAACACACATGCACAATGAAAACAAAAAATAAGCTGAAGGAAATAAAAACATGATAGTAAAGTAAGTTAAGTCAGTTAAATAAGCACATAAGCAAGTAAATGAATGAACGAATAGACAGGTAATCAAGAAGGACTGGAAGCTGAACACAGAGAAAATCTCTTAAAAAACACCAATAGTAAATAAAAATAGTAAGAAATTAATAGCCAGTCAATGAAGCCTGTCATTCAAATGAGAAGAATTACAGAAAATACAGGGAAATTAAGGAATCATTTATTTTCCAGGAAAGAAAATCACGTCTTTTCTGCAGACAGAAAAAGATCATAATGGGTAATACCAGACCTTTATCAAGGCATTATCGTCACAAAATTTCAGGTGGCGTAGTGCCTAAGGCATCTGACTGCTAACCTGAAGGCTGGCGGTTAAAACCCATCAACCACTCCTTGGAAGGAAGACTGGGCAATCTACTTCTGTAGTGATACTACCTCAAAAACCCAAGGAGGGATCACTATGAATCAGATACAACTCGACAGCAGTATATAAAACCAACAACAAGGATACAGAAAAGATCTTCCAAGTTTCCACACAGGAAAAAAAAAGAAAAAATGGTTATATATAAATAACCAAGAATGAGAAGGACATCTAACTTTTCAATAGCAATTCTAAGTCAATAGAGAAATTTCAATTATAGCAATACTGAAATAACTAACTGGAATCAACTGTATGGCTACTAACAACAACAAATACTGGATTTACCTGTCCATTATAAACAATTACGGGAACTAGACAATATTTATGAGGAAATGATTTTCAGACAATGTACAACAAGCAGGAAAGGACTATTTTCCTGAAAGAAAGGAAACAGCAGATATGCCAATTTTCTGACTTGGGACAAATTCCAATCAGAATTGCATGGAAGGAGAGCCCAAGCAGACAACAAAGATGCCACTCAACTGAGGAGGCATTATGTCAGAGTTTGAGGCAGAGCAGAATTTGTGAGGCAGGGTCCAAGAGAGAAGGAAATGTTTAGGGATAAGGGAAGAAGACTGAATGGAGGTTCTGTGGTAGTTAAAGTTGTGTGTCAACTTGGCTGAGCCTGGTTTTGAGTGGCTGGGCAGCTGGATATAGTTATTCCCCACAATGAGACTGGCAATCAACTCTCAAGAGTAAATTTTACTGTATGTAAATTTTTTAAAAATGAACACAGAAAAAATAAAGACATTAAAGACAAACTGTTAGACTGCTTCAAGGAAAAGTAACATTGCATTGTGGTGTTTACAACTTAAGTAAAAGTAAAATATGTAACATAAATGATACAAAGGATAAAGGGGACAAATGGAATTATACTGTTTTAAGGGTAAAGTGATAAAATAGTATGCCTATGCCTCACTTACTGACACAGGTTCCAAAGACCAGGTCATTTTGCAAAAATCGGTGTTACACAAAAGTGGAAGATGATCACATCACCTTACCCTCCTCACCTGTACTGTAAACACCCTTGGTGATTTTTTTTTTGGGTGTGTGATTTGGGTGAAAATTTACAGAGCAAATTCACTTTCCATACAGCAGTTCACACACACTGTCTCATGACACTGACCACAATTACCCCAATGCAACAGCTCCCCTCCTACTTCCTCCCAACAGTCACTTCTTCCCTGTGTCCATCCCTCCATGCACTCCTGCCCCCGAGCTGTCTCTCTGTGCATAAACAGCCCTTCTTTCTCCCATGACTGTTCTCCCTAAGGAGTGTATTTACCTCAGGTAAATGTTCAATTCATATGCCTGTCTTTTGCTTGGCTGGAAGCCGCAGGTGTGGGTTCAATTCTAGACCTGCAGGGCAGCTAGGGGCCATAGTCTCAGTGGTTCCACCAGACTCTATCAGACCAGCAAACCTGGTCCCCCCATCCGCTTTTTTTTCCCAAATGCTTTTGAGTTTTGTTCCACATTGTTCTCCCTCTCTATCCAGGGTCTCCCACCTACATCCCCCTCTGAGTGGTTGATATTGGTAGCCAGGCACCATCTAGTTCTTCTGGTCTCATAGTCATATAGGCTGTGGACTGAATGGTGTACCA